CAACTTCTTCCATCTTTGGAAGAGTTACCATAAACATTTCATGGGTTTTCCTCCTCTTTCTTCCTGCCACAAGTTATCAAACCTTTAATGGTCATTTGTACTGAAATAGTCTATCAGTTACAATAAAACTGCTTGCTGTGAGCTGGGCTATATTAATTATATCTAACAACAAATTATGGGAGTTTTTTAATATTTGTTTTGCAGTTCAGTTCTACTCACAGTTCCTTGGGGACTGAAGACTAAAAATACGTTTAACTGTACAGATTGTTCTAGCTGTTAAAGAGCATTTCCTTATTCCTGTAAGGACTTGCTGTGGGAGCAGCTCCGAGTTGACTGAAGGGCAATTTTTTTTGGCAGAACGAAAGTCATCCATCTAATACCAGATCAAAAGAGCATCTCTCTCAAATAGATGCTATTGAAATTTTTTTAAAGGTGAAAAAGGTTCCATTTCCTACAAATTGGAAAGTCACAACCAAAAAAGTGCTTACCAATTCTCTGCAAAGAAGCCAACTGGTTTAAAAAGAAAAAGCCCAGGAGCATCAGTGTTGACCAGTGACAGTGTCTGATTTTGCAATGCAACACCTCATGTTTTCATTCCATCCATAATGCCTTGGGGACATGTTTTTGTATCTCAGTATTAATGGGCTTGCTGCCACATAATTGGTGAACTTGTTGCAATGAAAGCCTTGGAGTAAGAATTGTGTTTGAGTTCTTCCCAATAGTGTAGGAGAGTAGGACAGCTAAAAAAAGTGACCCATGTAAGTAAAGATATTTAGGATGGCTTTTGCTCGGCATTATGGAATGTTGTTCCACTGCAAAATGTCTTAGAGATGCAGTTTCTTCAATTTTGACAACTGGGTGTTGGTTCAAATTAAGTCTGAGAAGTTCATTAATGTTAGTGTACCAATTTTGAATATCTTGGGAAGTTTGAAAGTGTATATTACAAATAAATCTCTTTCCAGGCACTGTACTTGTGTTTTGTGCAGTAGATAAAAGAAATACAAGCAGATGCTACTCTAGGCAAAATTCCTTTAAATATGTTATTCAAAACTTAAGTTTGCACATAATTCTGTTGTAATGTGGGGTTAATGTTTTGGAATTTTCCTCTGTCCTTGCAGAAATGCCTGTGCACCACTGTTCATTTCATTAGGTTAAAACCTGCAGGATTGTTGAACTTTTTGATGCTTGTTAGCATAAAGCAAGGAAGTTGCTCTTTTTGGTGGGCACAGGACTGGTAGCCAGGAGATGAAGCTCTATTCTTGCCTCATTCTCCTGTGTGATCTGGAGAAAATAATTTAGTTTTCTGGAGGCCTTATAAACAGGAGGAAAGTTCTGAAAGTCCTCAGTAATGAGGCTTTTTAATTGCTGAGCATTTTCATGATGCCTTGGGATCCTGAAAAATAAGGTACCAGATAAAAGCAAAGAACTGATTGTCTTTTATTTTTGTAAAGAATATTTGTCGATGTTCTTCCTTTTCAAGATTCAAAAGCACAATTTGGAAAAGCCTTCAAGTCTGAAGTGTCATTTCCTTAATACATCCATCCTCAGACATAAACACTTTTTCCCCCCTCCCTCTCTCTGGCTCAATTTTTAGCTTTTATTTCTTACTCCTCAGGAAAGTCTCCTACAAGTGATCCGCGTGTTTCTGCTGATTACTACTTGATTCCATTTTAGAAAAATGTAGCATAATTAAGTAGTAAGAGGAACTGGGCAGTAAAAGGGGTAGCTTTTGGACAATTCATTAAATACTTGGTGCCTTTTAATGGTAGGGTACTTCCTTTGCTCATGAATTATTCATTTTAAGCTTTTGTTATAATGGCGACAGTGTTTCGGTCTCTGAGGCAGTTCTGGACAGCCTTCCTCTGCTGAAATACTGCACAGCAGCAGCAGCTACCACTTATTTTATAAACTAATGCATCTAAGTCAATAACACAGTGAGTAAATGTATTTTCAAAATCGAGAACATGAAAAAAGAGGACAGATAACAATATTGTAACTAAGGGGATCTGTTTTGCTGAAGGGTTCAGTTTGTTTACTTTTCTGCAAACTATTTAGGGATGTAATTTAAAATAAATATTTTTACAGATTATTGTGTTTAGTATTAGATTCAAATTATGTCTATAATGAAAACAGACATTAGTGTCTCTGCTTTATACAGCATGGTGCAATAAAAGGCAGTTTAAAAACCCTCACTGTATATAAACACATCAAGTTTTTCTTAAAACTAATGTTTAAAAGTCTCTTTGAAACAGTTTTTTAAGATGAAACATAACACAACCACACAACCCACATAGAAAATGCATCTGACTCATGTGCGTAGAGAAATAAAAGTTTCTTTGTGGTATCTAGTATCAGTCTTTCATTAAAGCATGGACTTTCCTGAAGAGAAATTCCAGTGCAGGCGCTTGAGGGCTCTCCCCATCTTCCCCCCGCCTCCTTACACTTCTCTGACTCTGGGTTCAGCCCCTGGGGCTTGGCAGGGAGTGTTAGGGACAGTACCATGAGGACAAGGGAATTTGGGGCTGGGAGTGGGAAATTTGGGATTGGGAGCAGGGAATTTGGGGCTGGGAGCAGGGAATTTGGAGATGAGAATAGTGAATTAGTGGCTGGGAGCCGGGAATTTGGGGTTGGGAGCAGGGAATTTGAGGCTGGGAAGGGGAGGGTATTTGGGGCTGGGAGCAGGGAACTTGGAGATTTGGAGCTGGGAGCATGGAATTTGGAGATGAGCGCAGTGAATTAGAGATTGGGAGTTGAGAATTTGAGGCTGGGAGGGAGGGTATTTGGGGCTAGGAGTAGGGAATTTGGAGATTTGGAGCTGGGAGCTGGGAATTTCAGGCTGGGAGCAGGGAATTTGGAGCTGGGAGCCAGGAATTTGAGGCTGGGAGCAGAGAATTTGGAGCTGGGAGCAGGGAATTCGAGTGTGGGAGGACGGAATTTAGGGCTGGGATTAGGGAATTTGGAGTTGGGAGTGGAAATTTGGGGTTGGGAGCAGGGAATTTGGAGATTTGGAGCTCGGAGCAGGGAATTTGGAGTTGAGAGCAGTGAATTAGAGTTTGGGAGTCGGGAGTTTGGGGTTGGGAGTAGAGAATTTGGAGCTGGGAGCAGGGAATTCGAGTGTGGGAGGAGGGAATTTGGGGCTGGGATTAGGGAATTTGGAGCTGGGAGTGGAAATTTGGGGTTGGGAGCAGGGAATTTGGCGATGAGAGCAGTGAATTAGAGATTGGGAGTCGGGAATTTGGGGTTGGGAGCAGGGAATTTGGGGCTGGGAGCAGGGAATTCAGAGCTCAGAGCTGGGGATTTGGAGCTGAGATCAGGGAATTCAGAGCTGGGAGCAGGGAAGCTGGAGATGAAAGCATTGAATTAGAGGTTGGGAGCCGGGAATTTGGGGTTGGGAGGAGGGAATTTAGGGCTGGGAGTAAGGAATTTGGGGCTGGGAGCAGGAAATTTGGGGTTGAAAGCCGGGAATTTGGGGCTGGGAGCCGGGAATTTTGGGCTGGGAGCCGGGAATTTGAGGCTGGGAGCAGGGAATTTGGGGCTGGGAGCCGGGAATTTGGGGTTGAGAGCCGGGAATTTGGGGCTGGGAGCAGGAAATTTGGGGTTGAGAGCCGGGAATTTGGGGCTGGGAGCAGGAAATTTGGGGTTGAGAGCCGGGAATTTGAGGTTGGGAGCAGGGAATTGGGGCTGGGAGCCGGGAATTTGGGGCTGGGGGCTCCGTGGTGCTGTTCCCGGGGGACACAAACGCGTGCTCCTCGCAGCGCTGTCCCTCTCTGATGAGATTTTAGAAGCGCTGTTTTCTCCCAAGCCGTGTCCTCGCTCCTAAAATGCCTTCAAGCGAGAGATAAGTGCGTGTGGGGGACGGAAGCAGAGAGCAGATAGATGAGTGATTAGGTCATTGGGATGAGAACGGAGGGGTTTTTTTGTTTTTTGTTTTTTTTACGCCGAGCTCCCTTCTCGTTTTCTTGCTGATCAGATTCCCTGCGAGCACGGAGGGCTGAAACTGCGTAAGTAGAGGAAACAAAACTCCATAGATGGATAAAGCTGCAGAGCTGCTAAGGAGCAGCGAAGAAGAGAGAAGGCTGAACTGAAAGTTGATGTGGTTTCGGGGAATCTGAATCATGCAGTATTACTTTCACTTTTTCTAGGCTTGTATTTCCTATGAACAAACCATTGGGGAGATGGAAGTTCTGATTTAGATAATGCCTTGCAGTTTTTGGGATAGCACATCCTGCTGGAGGAGGAGTCCTTTCGGCCAAGGTCGGGCTCCGTGAGCGGGGAGCTTTTCCCGCTGCCCACGTCCACATTGTTTCTGCTGGGAATGTCAACTTTGGGCCTTTTCCTGCGGATTTTTCATACATTTAGGTGACCACCCCATGTAAAATGGAAGCACCAATAGGAACCCCTCCTTTCCTTTTTCCTGTAGCTCTGCTCAGACCATTCTCTGTTAGCATGGTAGTGGTACAAAGTGTGTGGTCTTTCAGCTCTGACTAATGCATTTTGTGCTGTGTGACTGAAAATGTCTCGTAGTCTGCCAGGGCTGACTGAGGGTTGTGGAATGTGGTGCCTTTTCTCTGATTTATTTTTTTCTTCCCTTTTTTTTTTTTTTT